GTGGTAGGTGGTAGGTAGTAGGTAGTAGGTAGTCGGTAGTGGGTAGTGGGTAGTAGGTAGTAGGTAGTAGGTAGTAGGTAGTAGGTAGTAGGTAGTAGGTAGTAGGTAGTAGGTAGTAGGTAGTAGGTAGTAGCTAGTAGGTAGTAGCTAGTAGGTAGTAGGTAGTAGGTAGTCGTAGTCGTAGTCGTCGTCGTAGTCGCAGCAGTAGTACTACTAGCAACAGCAGTAGGACACTAGGAGATTCGGACAGTGGGACAGTAAGACAGTAGGAGCAGCAGCAGCTGCAGTAGTGCAGCAGTTTTCGTATTCATCGCATCGATAATGTTAGTACTTTCCCTGTAGTAGCCTGTAGTCCACTACTATGATTTCCCTTTATACTCTGGGCCTCTCCGGCCATGCAACAGACTTCGTCGTAGCCCAGGAAACCGAAGAAGGTGGTCACGCATCCCGACATCACGCCTGCACCGACATCGCACAGGCCGCAAGTTCGTGATAGTTGCTACAAGACTCTACAAGTGTTTCGTGGGTGATCCAAGCTAGCTCATACCACGCTCGACAGCGTTTTGCAAGTGCACCACACACAGCTCAAGCAGAGTCCCATCGTGCCTGCAGGCCCAAATTCCGGAGGCACGAAGGGATCGAAATGCTCAGCCTGACTGTGGCTGGATGCCAATCGGCCAGGACAGGCTATACATCTGGCGGAGAGCAGCCTGAAACTTCGTCATGGCAGCTGCAACCTGAGAATCAATTTTGACCGTGTGGAACTGGTAGAGACAGTGTTTGCGACGAGTCTTGACGGGCATCGTCGCTCTTAAAGAGCACAGGAACAAGCAATTGTCCTCCGCAGGCGTCAGAGCATCGTGACTCACTCACTGATGCGACCAATCAGCATCGAAATGTTCATCTTGGCTGTGAATTTTTGTACACGCTTTGCACATCAATTCCAAGTCTTCGATCGTCATCGGTCCGGTGGTTTAGGGCTTCCGGACGCCCACTTTGCGTACACCAAATGCGCTTAACATCATTGCTCATACATTGGAGGCTCACTGGAATTGAAATACCAAAAAAGGCGTAGATGCGCTGGATTGCGCTGGCGCATGCTAGTTTCTTGTCCTCACCTCCTCGTCGACTGTGCATCCGTGTGGAGGTGCTGCCACCCCGGACCCATCACGGCACAGCCACACCCAGGGGTTGACTGCCATCTGCTAGCTGCAGTGGAGGTGGGAGTGACGACGCATGACAGAAGCCGACCCTCTCTTCAAATTGGAAAGCCTCTGCTGGCTAGTGACAGTGAGGCCAATGGTGCACTAGTTGCTGTGCATCACCAGCACAGAGTTTACACCCGTTCTTGGAGATAAGATAAGGCGAGCTCCTAGCGGCTCTGAAGATGCTGCAACGCTGAACATGCCATGGTCTGTGCTGCCGCAAGGATCCATCTCTGACAAATTGCTCAGCATTTCCGAAATCAACTGCATTGAAAGCTCGGGGAGCTCTTCTCCCGGGTCCCGGACCATCAGGAGGATTAAGAGCACCGCCAAGGCCGACGAAACTGAGAGAAGGAAGCCGCAAAACATGACAAAATTGGCCTCGCACTTTCGATGCCTCGTGCGAAACGCTTTCCCAGATCTCCACCAACATAGACCAATGCGGTGACCAGCAAGAGAACCTGGGCGTCCATCATTGAAGTCATGGTAAGGGGTCGTGGAAGCGGACCCAGCATCGCGTCGAGCAGCTACCAGCGCTGGCAATGACAGTGTCGCTGGGCCAATCCTGGTTTGCAGGAAGGTTTGGGACTTTTCGACGTCTTCCAGTCACAACGGGGCCACGAAGGATGAGGGTGCTGGGCCCAATGTCTAACAGCTCTAACAGCATCTGTCTGCACCCTGTAGACAGAATACCAGGTAACACACGATGCAGGAACTGTGCTGTTTGGGACGCTGTACATTGACAGTCGACAACGAGCCTAGAAACGAACACAGCACGAGCAACAAGCGCGCGGAGTGCTGGTTTCACACACACATGCACGCGATGAGACATGCTCGGATCTCGGGAAAAACGCCTCCACCCCTTGCTAGGCTCCAAGTAGCTGGCGCTCAGAGTCATCGAAGTCATGCTTGACACAACCATTCTGAACTGGCTTCTGCAATGAATCGAAGAATCGTGACAGAGCGGCTCAATCCCCGGGTCCGACCGAAGGTCAACACTTTCATGTGGGCTAAGTATGGACGTCACTTCGGCCAGGCAACTTCGTGGTAAGATGGGAAGCCTTGCGACTCAGTCCGCGGATGCACCGACAGAACTTCAACCCCATGAGGTGTGCGCTTTTGCTTTGAGGCATTGGCAAAGGATGGTGCTCCCAGCGAGGCCACCAGAGTCCTGCTCGAGGGGAGCAAGGGCGCTGCAAGTAGAACCGCGATCTGGAGGGTTTCCGAAAACAGGGAACCCTAATGTAGTACCCCAAATAGTAGGATCCTTATTATATGGGCCCCAAAATAAGGTACCCTGTAGACAAGTGGCCTGAACTTGTCACCCCAGTTTGCAGCCACAGCGGAAGCAGAGATCCTTCGCATGGAAGGCAACTAGCAAGGCTTTCAGCACTTCGGTCGACATGTGTCTGTAGACTCCCGACACTGTTAGAGGCCTGATTTGTCTCAGGCATCGATCCGCACCAATTCTGTAAGAAACAAGAAAGAAACAAGCAAAAAGGCTGCTGTGGCAGAGGCACCCATACTCCAGAGTAATGCAGCCCGCACCGACCACGGCAAAGACCTGTGCATCGCTGTGCACCAAACATGCCGAATCCGGACTGTCAAATTATGGTATGAGCACTAGCCGGCACCAGCGTGCGCCTCTCCCAGAGCATGGTATGCAAACGCATACACAGATCCCGCCACAGGCAGCCTTGCCGAGAGTTCCATGTAGGCGAGCCTCGATGCGCAAAGGGCCCTGCTTCCCAAGCCGACACCCGCTTTGGGCACGAAATGGCATGAATTAAAACAAGACTCGCGGAAAGCATGCAGCCAGCACCACCGGCGCACCAACAGAGCAGGACGGCAGGACCGGCCTGCGAAGCAGGCTAGTCTCGTGTCTAGGCTCCGTAGTCGCATCTGAACTTGTGGCAAAAATGGCCCCTGCCGGGCTTCAAACTCCCACCTGCTGCGCGGCTACTTGGCTTGTGATGGAGAACACCCCTGTGCCCACCGTTGAGCCCACACCGATGGCCTCGGCAACGATTCGATGCGATATGTGCCTCAACGACTCGCAAACAAATTCCCCTGCCGAGGATGCAGCCAGCAAGTCCCATGTGGTGAGCGAGCGAGTGAGTGCAGCTCCATGTGCATCACCCTGACTCCAGAACTCACTCTGTGAAAAGATGTCAATTGGCAGCCCGCAGCGGTGTCCTGCAACAGCTCCTGCCGAGTTTTCGTCGCAAGTAGCAGCTGCAACATCGGAGGCTCAGAGTTAGAGAACGCAGCAGGGGGTTGCTTTCTACTCCTGCAACGATTTCGAGAAGTCAAGCCCTACAACGATTTCAAAAGTAGACTCGAACCTCAAAGCCTTAGACAATTGGGAGCTCACAGCAAAATCAAAGCAACCAAATCCATGGGTTCCGAGCCTGCTCGGGCTGATGGTTTGGGCTTCGAGGGTTTTGGGGCTGACTGCTGTAGAGTTCGAACTCCCGACACAACGGGACACGACTAACCCCTACAGGAAAAACAAACAGATGCTTCAGGGTGCCAGAAGCACCGGACGCTGTGTCCGAGCCAAAACTCTTCGGTAGGGAAAGAGGGAAGCGTGCTCTGTGGACTCTCTCGGCGATCTCAAGCCGACGGCAATGGACCGGTAGAGACCTCTGAGAAAAGGTCGGCATGCGGCAGAGTCGGATTGAATGCTTTTTTGAACAGCTTGAGCCCCAGTGTAAAGCTGGCATTAAAACGAATTCCGCAATTAGCCACTCGTGCCACGCAACACGGGAAGGACTCAAGGGAAAGCAAGACTGGCACAGATAGCATACAGTCTTATGTTGCATCGGAAACTCTAAGCTGGATCGGCAAGTCTCTGAGACGGAGCCGCGACCCACTCAGTTGCTGGGCAAGGTGTGTCTAGCCTAGTCCTAGTCTTGCTGCACCTCCTTGTCAAGGATGCCATCTGCCTTGAGCTTCTTTTTGGCCTCACGAAGCTGGTCGTAAACCTGAGATGCGGCGCCAAGATCTCTGAAGCTTCCCGGGCCCGGCCCTGCGGCCCTGACCTGCCGTGCTGAAGGGCGGAAGCGTCCGTCAAATTGATAGCAGCCGGAGATGACTGCCTGACGGAGGAAGCAACTTACGCTTTTTAGCCTACCAGAAAGACCAAGAAGCCTGAAGCACTGCCGGGATCGTGGGAGGAATCACCGGGGTCCTCCGCTCGCTGCACGTCACAGAACGTCACGCTCATCTCCCCGAGGCCAGGGACTCTCCTCCTGTTTACCAGCATCGCTCTTGTGAGCTCTGCGAGAGTGTTGATACCCTCGTACCTGCAAGAGGGAATGCAAGGAGAAGTCTGTCGGGAACTTTGCGGAATAGCGGTTTCGGAGACGAAGCGGCGAGAAGGTTGGCCGCATTTGGAAGCAGATGCATTGCGATGCATTACAATTGGCCCGGGTTACCCGCGGCTCACGCTTGGGATGCTAGCCAGTGTGAAGAATGCGGTCGTCGCGGGTACTTCACTGCACAGTTGTCTTTATCAGGCACGCATTGAATAGTACTTGCACCGGCGATGTTGCAAATTGACGACGATGCTTGCATGCACTTCGACTGTCTCAAGATCAGCCGTCTCTTCGCTTGTTAGGAGTTGTCTTATGTGGGTCTGCAGCGTCCAATCATTTGGGACCACCCTTGCCTCCAAGACCGCCCACCCAGGCGATGGCGCAAAGCTTCACGAATGGATGTTGAATGCGCAGCTGCCGGAGTACTTTTACTTGCCCAACTGCAGATAGCAAGGAACCACGAAGAAACCTTGTGCGTGGAAGCGGTCGTACCGAGATTGTAAAAGAGAGGTACTTTAGTTTTCAGAGCAAAGAGAACGGCAGGTGCTGGCGCACGGTAATGGTCCACCATTGATCTCCGTGAAGATGCAGCCCATGGACCAGATGTCTACCTCTCGGCTTGGCATGCAAGTGACTTGAGTTTTTGTCAAGCTTTGCACTTGCTTGCAGGTGCCTTCTCTGTGATTTTGGACTTGCTGTCGAAAAGCTGACCAGGGCAAGCAAGTTTGTCCAAACCAGCACGAGGGCAAGATTTCTGTTCGCCACGCTGAAACAAGTCAAGGACTTCTCAGAGCATGCATGAAAGTCGAAGGACACAGTGTTCTGCCGCAGACTCCACACATGCACTGTCTTTGGGCAGCAAAGGCTAGTCTTCACCTCAGATCTGCCATGAAACATGAGCTTCGAATTCCGGAACAATGCTGGCTGCTCCTGCATGCTAAGCTGCTAACCTACTAGAGACATCTAGCAACTTTTCAGAATCCCAGGAGATTGGACCTGTCAGCACAGTTCACAATGCACAGGGACCCACAAACGCGGCCTCTTTCAGGCCGCCACGGCTGGAACTGCGTAAAGGACAACCTGCAGTTGCTACAGACATGGGCAACTTACCAGCCGAGACCAGTCCTGCCTCGTCTGAGATAGCCGCGAGCGAGGCATCTAGACTCAGACCTTCGGGACTATGGCTTTCGGGCGATATGCATCAATGATGCACATCTTGCATCTTTAAAGCATCGAGCAGTCTGGATGAGCGAAGTCAAAGGCCACCTCGCATCAGGCATCTGCAAAAGCGTCCATGTTGGCTCGTGTGCTGGGAATGCTGCTTGCATCCATCGGTTCTGAAAATCGTCGATCGTCCCCGTGCGATACAGCATGCCTGATCAGTGGGGGCATTGGAACATCGCCATCTGTTTCGGCCACAGGGCCAGATGGACCCCCGCCTCTAAATCCTCGGCTTGTGACGTCTCGACATCGCCTCGCCGCGCTCAGTTTGATGCAGAGATGCATGGTTGAGACTTAAGCGATCCCGAGCGGCTCCGAGCTGGAGATCTCGAGATTGGGGCCTCAAAAAGCAGAGGATCAGGGCCCCAAAGAGTGGCTCTCTGAGGATCCAGGTGAGGTCCGCGCCGATGCGTGCCAGGTGCGGTGATGTACAACGTCCCGTGGGGCAGCTGGACGACAAGGATAGGACGTTCCAGTCACACGGGGTCTCCTGCCAGGGGCTGCCACAGACAATTCAAGGAATTGGAGTGACATTCATGCTAGACTCCTTGCAGCATCACACCTGCCGGAAGTTCAGAGAGAGAGAGAGGCCGGCCGAGACAGAGAGAGGGGGACAGACAGAGAGGGGGCGATTCTCAAGAGTCCCACACATGTAGAGAAGCAGGCTGAAGCTGGACAAGATCGTGTGTGGCTGCGACCCGCGACAATGGCCCCTAGATGCGACCGCGAACGCAGATGCGACCGGGATGTCCAGAGTCGTCTTGGATGTTCCGTTTGGCAGTCAGACCTTGGCCTTTGCATCATGCGGCTTCTGAGAGCTAGATGACATTTGAGTCATTTTGTGCGAAGCAGCTTCGTTGTACCCATGAGCTCTTGGCACTGTGCACAACATGCTCCAGCGACCGAGGTACACTGTCCGACACACCATGCGATTGCCCACGCCAACCTGAAATGAAGCAACGCTTCCCGCAACTTCACTGAGGGAGCTCCACGATCCCGACTCCTCCTGGATCAGCGACCACACCTTGTGGCGAAAGTCTTCTGCCAACACGGCTCCATCCTTTCGACGGCATCAGCTCATGCAAGTATGGCGCAAAGAAGCAAAGAAGCTCGTCCTCCAGAACCAAGATTATTGGCTTTGGCGTTCCAGATCGCCTGGCCAAATTCTGGACGTGGAAATGGCCTCAGGGAAGCACACTGCAGGAGGACAGGACAAGTTCGACACCCGACGTGCATTCCAAAATGCTACGACGAACAGACCCTTCGTTTTGGGTGTATGAAGCGCATCGCACCGGGTCCGTCGCCTTCGCCGGAGCAGGGCTGTACGGCGCCGGGGACGCTTTCCGCATCCGGCCCGTCGCCCGCCAGCGAGCGACGACCCATAAGCTCTGAAATAAACCAAATTTGGGAGGAGAGGGTGGGAGCTGAAAAACGTCGGGCGACGCAAAGCCTGCAGTAGCTGCCGCGTATGCACACATTACATGTGTTACACATCAAATGAATGTGGAAGCTCGGCGTTGCTTGCAGTGCGCTCTTCGCGGACGCTGCTGCCTTTACAAGGAAACTCCGCACCACGAAGACTCCTGTGATACGGTGCAAAGCGTGGCTGCCGCTAGACTGCTAGACCGCGGAGCTACTTTCCCGATTGCTCAAATGTTTGAAGCTGTGCTGCTGGTTTTACCATGGATACGACAGGACTTCGAAGGATGTGGTGAGATTTCTCGCGTCCCAACGTCTTGAATGGATGATGTGATGAACTGTGAGAACCGGCTCGACGCTGATCACCTGAGGTCGCAGCTCGCAGCAAGACTCAGTGCGCCCACCTTGCTGTCGAATCAAAAGGGCTCTCGACTGCTCCCGGCCGCGGACTGCTCACTTTGCCTGGTCCTTGAAGTGGTTGATGTCGAAGCCCGATGGCAAGGATCCATCCATCACGGCCGCCTCTGCGGACCCAAGAAAGGCTAACAGGAAGACAGAGAGAGTGGGAGCTGCGCTCCAGCCTGCACATCTAGCTCCAAGTTCAGGTCATAGCCTGCACAGAGAGCTGCTTTCATTCATCCCACTGCCTTTCTTTAGTGAGCTTTAGTGCCCAGGCCTGCAACGGGGGTGCCTTGCAAAGCTTGCGAGCCAAGACCTGACAGCGCAGAAACAGAGTCCTCAAACCTGGAAACCTCGAAATCTGCATCGTGGTGACCCCTTTTTTGTTGGCAAGTCTTCGCTAGGCGACAGATATTTCTAGTGTCTATCCAAGGCTTTGCAATGCGGTGGGAGGCAGAGAATACAGAGAGCCGTCCATACCATCTCTCACTCGCACGATGGATGAACAACAGACTGATGGGGCCGCCAAAAACTTGGCGAAGACCAGACAACTCTGTAAACCCAAAAAATGACAGCCGCAAGCGTTGCTGAGTGTGGCACTTGCGAGAGTCTCACGGCCATTGTTGAGCCTTGAACGGCATGGCAACAGAAAGGGAATCACAGCACAAACACTTCCTTGGGCTGCTGCACCAAGCCAGGCATCTCTAAGACGTAGATCTCAGATGCGTGTTTGCTCTCACAGTATACCCACTGGCATCTATGAAACAAAGATCTGAAGATGGCGAGCCTGGACATTTCTGCGAAACCATTCCAGTGAGGATTGCTGCTGTTCCTCTGTCCAGCTTCTCAGTCCTCCTAGCCTCGACAAGCCAGGGCCACGGTGTTTCGGAAGCAACCGCCAGTTCGTGCAAACGTGTGCGGCACCTCGAATCGTCACAAAGACTTGCCTGCACTCATAACCATATGTCCCAAAGTGTGCGTGCTCAAGCAAATCGGTTCAACTTGCAAGCTTGTGCGCCCGACATCACTGAGGGGCGTCGAAAACTCACCCAAGGCCCCGCCGAGCCTGTTGTGCACCAGATGGGGGGACATGCCCACAAACATGAGGACGAGGTCATGGTCAAAATGGGCCGAGTCTGGCACGTCCGAGAAGTTCGGCCGTAGGCCGCATGCCATGTCAGCCCACCTCAGCCAACGTGTCGTTGACCAGCGTGCTCAACTGGATGCAACACCGCTCCTTCCCGGTCCCTTATCCAGTTAGTACATAGCAAGTCTCGTTCTGTATCACGGCGATGCATGCCATCATGCGATTAGAAAAAGAGCACGACAAGAGCCAATGCGACTGCCGTGAAGAGTGCGATTGGCCGCTGAGCGCGGCACATCTCTGCCCCTGACCCAAGAGACCCCTCTCGAAGTCAGACGGGACAATGCCGCAGGCGTGCTGGACCAGCTCCCAGCAAGGAGGCCTTCCCATGAGAGCAGAAGCGTCATAGTCTCACAAGATCTCATCATAGCCCCGGGGTCCTTGGCGAGTTTGCCAATTCCGGAAAAGACCAGCAAAACCCTAAACCTTAAAATGCCCAAACCTTAACCTGGAAAAAATCCATTCCAAACATGTTGGACTTTCTGCCTTGCCTGTCCTTCGGAGAGGCCAGCTGCCCACACCTGCTGCCGAATCTTACTGATTACTCCTTAGTGTTATTTCTATTTAGTTCTCCATTCCTTTTGGGCTTGCTCAATGTTACTGAAGTGCGGGTTGTTCCTTAAGTTTCCTTGTTATGATTAAAGTATGCCATACCCCAAAACACTCTCCTGACAGCTATAGCACTCATGCTCATTGTGTTGAGGTGTTTCCGGGGGCCATTTCGGCCTCTGGGAACCGACTCCCCAGTGATGCTGAGGAGACCTCGGGACAACACAGCTGCTCGTCTCATACATACATATAAACGTGTGTGCGTGTATGTGTATATATATATGTATATGTATGTGTATGTATGTATATATATATATGTGTATATATGTGGCAGGAACCTTTACGTATAATGTGACGTGTCCCTTGTGTTATATTACAGGAAGGGCTTACATGATAACATACGTCACACACTCACACACACACACGCACAGAGCCAAACCTGAGATCCACGTACCGAATTTTGATCGTCGAAGCGCCCATCGTCAGACCGAATGTGCTCCAGCAGCTCCACAGAATGACTTTTGCGCCAAATGCCGGGCGGTCGGGCATTGAGGTTGCCTCAGGCCATGCTGATTGCACATCGCTTCACGCCCTGTCGTCTGATTTGATGGGAACGCCCCACTGTGAAAACTGTACGCTGTCTTTTGAGGCCATTACGTCCTGCGGGTTATTTGGAAACCCAGTCGCCGACCTTCTTGACCTCTTCCGATCTGTCACGCTGCAGTCGCAGGTCGGCCTTCTCCGTGCCGTCACACCACTGATTCCAGGTGTCATCCGTCCACACGGATGCAGTGACGATCCGGGCCAGCACGGGACCACTATTCATCTGACTGAGAGTCGGGTATCGCAAAGCACCATAACGAGGCAAAACCTTTCCTAAGGTTAACTCCTGCAGCTTTAACTGCAGCGCGCTCTGATGCATTTGCTTCGTCTGCCTGAACCAACTCTTCACCTCACCGCGCAACGCCTCATTAGAGCTTGTGCCGGAGGGGAGGAACGTTCTCTCCGATGGACCTCAAACATTCAGCTTGCTAGTATCAAGTTCTGTGGGTGAGTGCCAGCATATGACAGTGCCACAGACAGTAGCCGTAAGTCCAGGACGCAGCGAATGTCGCCACCGGAGGTTGCTGAACAGCCACTCCAGCCGATCAGGCGCACAAGCACATTTTAAAATGCGATGGAGTGGTATGTTGGCACCGGTGACTTTTCGTTCTAACCTGCAGCCAAATCGTACTTCACTGTCGGGTCTGTCCAGAATTCTCTTAGTTTGTGGCACAAGCATTGTACCCGAAGTGACTAAATTTCGTCTACGAGATTCCAACATGTATAAAGGCCTTTCCTCATACCCGTGAAAGCAGCCGCCCCACGAACCTTCCGACTTGCTTGCGTCTACCACACTCAGCTTCTCGAGCGCTTTTCTGAGAAGACTGCACCTGGCGTTTTTCTTTCGCCATGTTACATACCTTAGCCGAGAAATTGCCGTGTGTGAGTTAAAAAACTAGTTGTCGAGAAAGGCAATCTAAGAGTAAAGGCAGGACACTCATAGGTAATTGCCAAGTGAATAGGATCCAGGCAAAGACTTTCCAGGCCAGGCATTATTCGCCGAAGGTGTAGGTGTAGTTTTCTGGATGCACTGTCCGCTGCAACCATTCTGACCTGCCGAAGGCCTTTCAAGGGAAGATTGGCTCCAAGCGCCATTGCCACTTCCTCTGCGTTCTCCAACGCTATTGCAAACATTCCCAGCACAGCACCACTACTTTGTGCTTGGAGCAGCGCATGTCTGAAGCGTTTGGAACCCTTGTAGCAGCCTCCAACCAATCCTTACAAACCCCACCCACTCTGACACCGCATCTCAAAACTGGCGCCCCGTGCAGCCGCTGGGCGCCGTGCCTTCGGTTGGTTTTTTTTTCATGGGTTTCTCAAGCACGGTTCCTTTCGGGTTAACATTGAAGTTGTCGGGTTTGATGTCTAGAAGGGTTTTGCTGAAAGAGTGCCATCAACGAATGCGTTTCGATTCAATCAGTTTTCCACATCCGGAGTCTTTTAAACCCTAAACCCTAAAGTCGAAAACCCAGAAATCGTAATTATGACGTCTACTCCTCGCCTGGACAGTCCGAAGTGACGATGTCCCAAAACCCTATCCTAATCCGCAAACCCTTCTGCCTCAACACCCTACCACTTCAACCGTATAGCCCCCTCCACTCCGGCAAATGCAATCGGGAGTCAGACCTAGGGGCCTGAAAATTTTAAGGTTAAAGCTTAATGATTACGGGCTTGAATCGAATAAGGTCTCTAGAAGTTATAAGCTCTTTCTTTACGGATACATGGGACATGGGAGGTCAGACACGTCTATCTGGTTGGCCGCATACGTGTGCACAACGCATTATGCCAATATCTTTTTTCAATGCATGCTCAGCGATTGTCATGCAAAAACGTCTTTTGCGTTCTTGTCTTTCTCGGCGAGACGACTTGTGCTTGAGCTGCTTAGAACTGATGTCGCCAACAAGCTTTTGCAACATGAGCCGGCGCACACGACTCCAAATGTGTTGGCGCGCTTCACATACTAGATGTCCGACTTCATGGGTTGCTATAGGACCTTCCAAATCTGCCGGAAATACCGTCGACCGTTAAGCAAGGCTTTGAGTTGCAACATGTCCTGAAAGGTTATGATGCCATCGCCGAAGTGTACTCCAGAGCCCCAAGAGCTGCGCCCCAAGAGCTGCCGTCATCAAGTTCAACAAGCGACCCGCCCAACCGGTGCGCAACGTCCGTCAAGATCTGAAGTCTTGTAAACCTTGCCGGTCGTGACAAAGCACAAGTACAGATTCAGTTGTTACTAACAAAACGTGACAACGATTTAACCCATAAACCACGTGCAGTTTTCTGCACTTGGAAGCAAAAAACACACCCACCGAGCAACGTTCCTTCAGCGTGGCGTCAGTCAGCTCTGAAACATAAGGCTGAATATTGGCAATGATTGCCATCGTAAATACTCTTTGCACCAGCGCCGCTGTTTTCAGCTCTGTAGTTTGTTCTAGTAACCGTAAACCCGGTCAAGGAATATCTCGGTCGGGGGCAGGGCCCTGAGGCAAAAATCCATGCCTGCCAAATCGTGCTGACACTGTCAGACACCAGGCAATCGCTCGACACAGGAACGATTCTCTCACGAAGTCATTGATGGCAGAGTTGTCACGGAGATTCTTGATGTTGACGGACTTCGCCAAACATTTGTAAAGCCGATCATCCTTCTTGCTCAAATTTCTCCATGGTTGGCGTAAGCGTTTTCTTGTTTGAAGCGCCGAGCAATCTCACCCAGCACCATCTCGCTCACAACAACGAGACATCAGCCTCCCAACCAACGCGCACGCTTGAGCCCGAGTGACGTGCTTCTTGCACAAGTCGCCGAATCTTGGAATAAATTTGCACCAAAGTCGCAAGAGCTTGAAGTTGACTGTGTTTTTTCAGCACCATTCGCGACTGTGCCGTGTCTTTGCATGCGCTGTATTTGAGTATCTATGCAACATAAGTACAAAAGAGCATTGGGGTTTATGCAGTGCTATGCAAAGGCTTCGATAAATGCTACAGCTTCTACATCACATGTTAGGCATGTGCCGCACGACTAGCATACAATACATCGGCAACCCTACTCACACGATTTTGAACTGAAAGCCGGATCGATACAACACCCGTGACTTTGGGCTGCAAGGTTATATAGGACCTAAAATTTGAGGTTTAGTGCGTCAGGGTGTTGCGCTATGCACAAAAGCCATGAAAATTGGGTGCTTGCAATCCCTTAATATGGAAGCAATAGCATGTGCTGAAGGCTTCGGATGACTTAAAGTTTGGAGATTGAGGCTTTAGGCGGCCCAGATCCCTTGTGACAAACACAAGGAGCGGCGACCCGTAGAATCAGCACAATGCCAGGTTGCTTTGGATGACTTGATTTGGGCTGACGACATCGCCTCATGTTTGGAAGTTGATGAGGTGACTGAGGCAGGCTTCAAGGTTGGTCTCGAGGCCGGCATCCTCGGTGAACTCTTTCGCCAGCCATGCGTTTTTGTTTGCCTTTGGTGTCAGGAAAACTCCGGCAATCATCAGCTTGCATGGACCGGGCTTCAGAACAGCCCAGCGCAGCCTCTACGGCGGTAAGCCCGAAATCCAAACCCTCAGGGACAGCTGTGCTGCCTCGACGCTTCCTGCTGTCGATGCGTATAAACTTTTAGCTGTGCAGCAGGCCCACGACGGAGCGATAAAACCCGAGTTGAAACAGCGCCGATCTGCAGCTTGGGTAGCCTTCCGCGACGGTCGCACAAGGATTTTTTCGGTGTCGGCGGCTTGCGCTCGTTCGGCGTCGAGTTCTTTTCAGCTCCCTCGTCCTTACCAATCGCCTATTTGGAGCAGGAGTGTGGCCACCAGCTGGCACAAGGCAAACCAAGACAGTTGCCGGTGCTGACCGAAGACTAGCATGTTTCGATTGCCACCATGTGCTCCCTGCTTGGAATTTTGGACTATGTTGCCATGCACCTGATGCCATTTGGGCCCTGATCAGATCAGACCCACCTTACTTGTCCGTTCTGAGTGGAGCGCTCTCATGGTTGTACGACCGGGCACGAGCCACCTGTTGGCTCCCGGACCCAGTCAACGACTGGCAGCCACCGTGCGATCTCTTGCATCACTTGTTGCGCGGCCCTGCAGGCTGTGTACTGGCTTTTGTGCCTGCAAGGCCAAGGGAAGGAGAACAGCGAACCGATGCAAGCGGAGCCTTTCATTGATGCATTCACGTCCAGGTCGGCATGGGCTTGCCACGCACGGCTACCGCATTGCTGCCGCCGGGACACGCCGTGCCAAGCATGTGGCAAGTGTGCTTCGTGCCGCATCGCATGGGGTTCCTTTGCTCTGTAGGAGGTGCTGTTGTTCGGCAGATGCAGTGTCATTGCCGAGAGCACTATCGGTAAAGACCCTGCAACGTACAGCAGATGCAGAAACAGTGTGGGAAGCCGTCGTAGACTTTGTCGAACCCCTGCAGAGCCTGAGGGAAGCTCTCAAGATGTGGGGCGGCACAGCCACGGACGGGGCCCATGAGATTGTGTCCGATGTTGTCCTTATGCTGGATCCAGCCCTGGCATGTGACACTTTTCAGCGTACCAGCTCGCCTTCCTCTGTGGTCCAAGGTTGTGCTGATTTGCCCGGGCCGCTTGATTTTGGATTTCCCTTTGCGAGGACTGCATTTCCAGTGGTCTCTGGCTTGGACCCACCGCCATGCCCTGCATTTTGTTACCCTTTCATTGGAGCTGCTCCGTTAGCTGCCGCCAAGCGCCGGGCTAAGTATCTGGAAGGAGTGTGCGATGTTGTAGGGCTTGCGGTGCAGCAGTCCAAGTCGACCCGGTTTTGCTGAGGGCCACGAAGCTGGCATGGACTGCAATTGAGCCAGTCCCCACCTGGCTCTTGACGGTCGGATTTTGCCTCAGATGGCTTGAGCAGCCCTGACTTTTAAATTTTAGTTTCACATGAATTCACTTTTGCAGTAGGCGCGACCGGATGGTCCCTCAGCCTGTGGAATGGCACAATGTGTGTGTGTGTGTGTATATATATGTATACATATATATATATATGTATATATATATATAGAGAGAGAGAGAAAGAGAGAGATGTGTTTGTTCATTTATTTATTTTATATATACACAAAAAAATATATATATATATATATATATATGATACCACACATGACATACAATGTTCCGTTCTGCTTCTTCCTCTTCTGAAAGATGCAGTAAACCTGAGATTCTGAAACCTGGGAATTTAGTGGGCTTTGCTGGCGAAGTTGGAGGAAGAGAGAAAGCCGATGAAAGCAGCTCGCCGTTGTCTAGCCAGAGCAAGGCACTTGATCCCCCTCCCAATCCGAGAATGGCACTTGATCCCCCTTCCAATCTAAGAATCTCCATTTCATACAAAGAGACACCGACAAGCAAATGACCGGCTGTCATTGCAACTTTGGAATTTCTGAACACTAAGCTCTGCACGCTGGTGGATTGCCTGCCTGTGCCAGGTCTCAGGAAAAACCATCAAACCTTTACTGTCAGAGCCGCCTCCCAGCTACAGGTATCCTGCCGTGTCATCTCCCAGGCCCGCCGCTCCCTTTGCAGCGCCTTCAACGATGGCTGCTCTTTCGGTGCCGTCATTTTCGGAGCAGGGCCTCCTGCAGCGTTTTCACATCCTCAGATTCAGAGCTCCAATCCTGGCAAGGAGGGGCTGGCGGCTGGCGTCATGCCATGGAAACGGACACTCCCTGCCTGCCAGTAGACAAACTTCTGCTCCAAGTTCCTACGCACTGTGGAACCTGCACTCTGCAAGCTACACCGACGGAGACTAGCACTGTCAAGGACAACAACACTTCAATCGCAACTCGCAACTACAATGTCTACTACGAATCGCTGGCGTTCGTTGTGGTCGTCTTCGTCGTCATCATCCTGAACCTCTCCCTCGTCATTACGGTCGTTGTCATCATCATGTTCACCATCATCGAAACCACAACATCAGATCAGATCTCGTTAGATCACGATGCTCATAGCAAAAACCTGAAGTGGCGATCAGAACCGTCATGAGGCATGAGCCAAACGTAAGGTCCAGGCTTTCAAGGCTGCCAGTGGTTGTGCTCCTTTACATTCATGCTCGAACACAGAAGGCCATGGAATTCATAATGCTTTACGATATCTTATGTGCGTTCTTCGCATCATTTCGGCCACCGACGTTTGATAAACTACCGACAATGGCTTTCCAGTCTCATGATGGTACCGCTTAGTTCTACGACTCTCGTCATCCCATCCGTGTTGGATTCTTCAAAACTGCCCTAGCAGTCATCGTCTCTCTGCAATAGTCCCAGGTACTAGTAGTGGTAGGTAGCAGCAGGAGGAGCAGTAGTAGTAGTAGTAGTAGCAGCAGCAGCAGCAGCAACAGCAGGGTTGCAGCAGCAGCAGCAGCAGATGCATCAACAGCAGCAGCAGCAGCAGCAGCCGCCCAAATAACAGTAGTGCCCAAATAACAGTACTACAGTCTAACAGTAATGGAACCGGTAGCAGTAGCTTATCACTGCTGTACTTGCACCTATGACTGTTCTATCACGTGTGGCAGACGCCTCAAGACCCGCCCGAACTGCCTGTTTATCAGGAGGACCACGGTGAAAAGAACTAAAGTCGGGATAGTTGCCACTGATGCAAGAGCCTCGGTGGTTGCACGTGACTGTCAGAAGTAAGTCGTTTGTCGCGGAGTGCTGCGTACACAGCCCCCGGCAATCCAAGAAAGGCGCGACGAATCATGGATTCCTGAGGCAGCGTGTTGTCACGGGGAATAGGGATGCACGCAGCCACCCACCAGACCCATGCTGGGGATCTCATTTCTCACGCATTCGCACGCCACATATCTAGAGTCCGGAGACCACCAGTAGGTAGCAGTAGTAGTAGTAGTAGTAGTAGTAGTAGCAGCAGCAGCAGTGGTAGCAGTAGTAGCANNAGTAGTAGCAGCAGTAGTAGGAGGAGGAGGAGCAGCAGCAGCAGCGGGAGGAGGAGGAGAAGGAGGAGGAGGAGTAGTAGTAGCAGCACAGCAGCAGCAGCAGCAGGAGCAGCAGCAGCAGCAGCAGTAGTAGTAGTAGCGGTAGCAGTATGTAGCAGTAGCACTAGTGGTAGCCGTAGCAGACGCAGTAGCGGTAGTAGCAGCAGTAGCTTTCGCAGTAGGAGGAGGAGTAGTAGTAGTAGTAGTAGTAGTTGTAGTCGTCGTCGTCGTCTCAGTCTCGTAGTTGCTGGTACAGTACCAGTAGAAGTAGCAGTTGCCGTCGTCGTCGTGGGAGTAGTGTAGTAGTCGTGCAGCTGGAGGAGGAGGATAAGAAGAATCAGTAGTAGCAGGAGTAGGAGTAGCAGTAGTAGCAGTAGTAGCAGTAGTAGCAAGAGTAGCAAGAGTAGCAAGAGTAGCAGGAGTAGTCGAAATTACTAGCAGCAGTGGTCGCAGTTTTGTTCTCGTTGTGTTGCAGCTGCAGCAGCAGCAGCAGCAGTTGGAGAAGCGGTTTAGCAGGCTTTACGAGGGAGAAGTGTCCCTAGGCGATGAACAGGTCCTCAACCGCAACCAGTTGAGGTCTAAATCCCGGGTGCAATCCGGGGTGGCCATGCCGCGGCCTGTTTCAACAAGCACCGAAAGTCTCCGACCGTGAAAAACGGGTTAAGGTTTACGGCCGAGGGTTTAGGGCACCTTGTGCTACCTTTGTATGTTCTTAGGTTACCTCTTCGGTCGGTGGGAGCCTACATGCGTCAGCCTTTCGCAGGGCCAGCATTGGCTTGGATATCGATTGCCCACATGACCAAAACAGCTTGCAAACTGGCCAGCAGCCAGAACTAAACCCCAGCACCCTAAACCCTAAATCCAACCCAAGCCACATTTTGGGCCTTTATCAAAGCCATTGGATGATGGTGTTCGCAGGTTGGGAAACTATGGAACTTCTGAGGCTCAAGGGTTCGAGATCTAGGAACCTTCTGTACCAAAAGACAGGATGAGCCACTGCACCATTTTCCATCAGTCTTCGTGATGGTAGCATAACCCAGCATCCAGCCGTTTGAATTATCATCATGTAAAGCCTTCAAAACTCTCAAAAATCTAGCAATCAACGCTACATTACATTTGTCTGGCTTCTTTACCCTGTTGTGAACAGTAATTACAAAACCATAGGTTATTGTGCAACCCTAGGGTTGTCCAGGTTCAACAGCGCTGGCCCCTTGGAAGGCACCCTTTAACAGAACTCTTCTAACAATTCCTTTAAAAACCGCCCTTGGAACAAATGCTTAAAGGAACTCTTGAGGAAATTGGAAGGAACTTCGTTTTAGGGTTTAGGGTTTAGGGTTTAAGGTTCTTTGCTTTTGCATCCCAGGCCGCCGGAGTCTCCAGGACTGTCTGCACTGCTGCGGGGCCGTTCGACAGAGGAGCTGCTGCATCGGATGCTCCTTGGACCTTCTCGCCTCTCAGGGTTTTCAGGGTTTAGGGCTTCAGGGTTTTAGGGGCGTAAGGCTTTAGGGTTTTACGGACTAGAAGCTTAGGGGCTTCGGGGACCGGGTTAGTTTTGCAAAAGGTGTATCTTCATTTTAAACGCTTCGCGGCGTCCGCCACGGCCCGGCTGTGCTTGAAGCGGGTGTATTGTTCGGGCAAGAAGCAGGTAGGCCCACAAGTGGACCATGGTCTTTTCGGCCGGCGAGCCCGTGGACGGCCCGTGGGCCCGTTGGCCATGGGCAGAGCGAGGGAAGTTGCAAGCCGGGTTGATGCAGATTTTGAACACAAGCAAGTTTGCAAGTGCATAATTGAATATACGTATTTGCATATGCACACACATATGACCGTACATACGTACGCACATAAATGCATACATCGCCACACACACCATAACCTGACCCTGTACAACACATCATAACATCGTAATAGAGCAAACTAAGAATAGACCACATGCAAGTACATACAACACATAGAAAGTAATAGGCCACATGTTTGTACGCACGCAAAAACACAAGCGCACACGCAAGTGTGCATATATATATATATACACATACGCATACACACACATACATAAGTATATATATATATATCTATATTTATTTATATGTATGCATATGTATTATGTATGTGTATGTGTATGTGTATATGTATATGTAAATGTATATCTATATGTCTGTCTATATGTATATGTATATGTTAATTTTTATGTATATCTACATGTACATGTACATGTACATGTACATGTACATGTATATGTATATGTATATGTATATGTATATGCATATGTATATGTATCTGTAGATGTAGATGTAAATGTAAATGTAAATGTATATGTATATGTATATGTATATGTGTATGTACAGGTATATGTACATATGTATGTATATGTGTTTGCCGATGTATATGTATACGTATACGTATATGTCTATGTCTATGTATATGTCTATGTCTATGGATATGTATTTGTATATGCATATGTGTATGTATATGTATATGTATACTGGCCAGTTTATAGCGAAGTCACCCGAGTCACCCGAAAATGGTCAAATCAACGACACGACCTGACTCGAAATTAAGCTGCCGACCTGACTCTTATTTCGTACGCTGCTCTCCGCAAAGCCATTGCAAAAGACATTGCAGTACATGCTAAATTATATGTAGTCTAAAAATTAGGAAAAAGGCCCAGGAGTATTCAAAAGAGATGCGCCCCGAGAAGCGGCGGCTGGTCAGATGATGGAGAGGACAGCCGAGTGTTCAAAAGTTCGACAAAAGAATATGAATAAGTTTAACAAACCCGGAAGAAGCCCGAGCTTGCCAGGCTAGAAAACCAACAAAGCAAGCCTTATTCATTGCAATAGGACCCTCTTGGGGTTTTTAGTTTGTCAATGAAGAACTACGAAAACAAGCCTGCTTCAAAGTAGGCTCTTTTTGTTAACATAGCTCTGGCAGGGGCACTTTGCTGTGCGAATCAGGCGGGGCTGGGGCTTTGTCGGGAAGTTTTCGGTGTGTTTGTCGAGGCTTTGTGACGGTAGCACGGAACAACAGCCCCCACAAGCCTCTTGACGGATGTTCGTTATGTGTCCGTTTTTTGAGTGAGAACAGTCTGAAAGCCGCCACCGCTTCCCACGAGCAAGAGAACTCAGGGGTGTTGTTAGAGGACCATGTCGCCATGCCATGTAGATGGTCTCTGCTGGCAACGATCCCTTCGGTGATAGAACAGCCCCGAAGGATCAAAGAATGACATCTTTGCAGTTTCAGAACCAGCTGCTCTCATGAAAACTTGTTTGGTTAGCAACCGGCATTGCGCTGCATGGAGCTGTCGAGTCACAGAGAATGAGACGCTTCAGGTTGTCTTGCAGAGGTATGTGGGTACATGGCAGAAGCTCGTGGCTTCGATTGCTGGTCCCCATGCAGAAGCGCTGGTTTACTACTGTAATGGCAACCGTCTCACCGCCAGCACTCCCCTCGCCGATCGGAGATTTTCCGCGGCGTCATTTATTTGATTGCCATTTCCCTCAGCAACAGAATGTGCTTCGATTTGGTGAGTTCCTATGCAGGTTGTACTTGCACCCAGCAGAGGAGGTCTTTTTGGGAACGCTGCTGAACGGGAGTACGTGGACAAGACCGGCTTTTGCAGGTGTGAAAGTGCGAGGTTTGCTTAGGATTTTTAATTTTTAGTGGTGTTAGTATAGAGACTTGTAGAGATGAAACAAACGTACATGTTTCAAACCATAAACTTGGAAAGTAGGCTTGCGACACCTGCCTTCCCACAAGCAGCCGTGCTATGAGACTACCTGGAAAGGATGAGCGGCCAGAACAGGATGTCGCATGCAGACTGGATGGCGATCGCAGCTTTGCATGTTGAGTGCACAGAGCCTGCGACTTTTGACTGCCGAAGCAGACACTGGATCTGCAACCCCCTGTTCCGTGCCACGCATACAGGATGGATTTCGTCCGAGCGCTTCATGATCAGCAGCCTTCTCGTCTTCGGACGAGAAGAAGACGACGAATTTTTCGTACAGGCTTGTGCATTGAGTGGCGCCCAAGTTGCTCGTCGCATCAACGAAGACGACATGACAATTGACGCTCTCCTTCCATTTTCTCTCAGAGGCGAGGCAGAAACAGTGGATGATGCGGCCAGCAGCACTGGGCGAATCGGTCGATCGACAAGGGCGCCGGCTGAATTGGGACAAGAGTACTTGCTTGCAACAAACAAGCAAAGGCGCTTGCAACGTGTGGCCGAAACCCCTGCTGCCCCCGCTGAGCAGGTCTTTCGCCGTCCTGCTGCTCGAAATGCGTTTGGAAGGCTTGTGGATGGACCGCGGCAGCAGCGCACAGAAGCTGAAGTGACACGCTTGCAAGCTTGTGATGGACCGGAGACTTTAACTTCAAGAGTTGTCTTCGCACGCATCGTCCGAGACGTGATGGACAAAGAAGGTGGCCAAGAGAAACGCATAAGCTCCGAAGCCTTGAGCCTACTGCAGTTTGCTGCCGAGACACACGCGACTGAGACGTTGGTTGCATGGGGCAAGCTTGCGATGCATGCAAAGAGGATCACACCTGACGAGCGCGATTGTGCCATGCTACGCTGGGTGCAGTCCCACCCTTCACTAGCTCGCAGAGCGACTGCGGAAGGGTTGATATCCCGGTGTTTCTTGAAATTTCTGGGGACTCCTCGAGTTTGGGGGTTTGTG